TCTCGCAACCAATTAATGCCACAGAAATGCCAGCTGACCAGCCTCTCGAACCTGACCTTTGTCCCATGAGGTCCGAGATCTAGCAACAACCTTTGAGGGCGGCACCGCGAGCGTCGGCCTGTGAGGTTACCCCAGGATTTCCCCACTCTCTGTCCAGCACAGCGCGCGGGAAATCTTGGAGAAGAAGCAAAGACGACGTCAATCTCATCATTGCTCGCTGTTTGCTACGGCCGCTGCTGAGTCTGATACTACTGCTGCTACTATCCGTACTGCTGGCTGGAGTTGCTGCTTCTGCTGCTTAACCGTGTGCCATCATACCTTGCTCATCCCGCTCGCCGCAACGCAACGCAACATCCACTCGCAAATCACAACCCCAGTCGCTGCTCACTTCGCTTCAATCATCGCTCGCAGCGCGCGCTCGTTTGCCCTCGCAGCTTCTTCGTCGACATCACCGCTTCTCGTGCCGCGCCCTCTATGCCGTCCTCCGCGGCGTGAGCCATTGGAGCTACCCTGCCGCTTGCGGCTACGACTGAAGGATGCCATCCAAGAGAAAGGCTCAAGATGCCGAGAACAGTGTCACCTCGACCTCTGTCCCAAAGCGCCAGAGGGTATCTCGTGCATGCGACCAATGCAGAAGGCAAGCAGAATCCAGCACCATTGTTTCCCATTCTCCCTTTCTCTCATCTTCATTGCCTTCTTGCCGAGCGTTTCCTCCAAGCGACTAGATGCCCAGGGAACTACAAGCCCGGGTGCTTCTCCGTTGCAAGCGTTTCGGCGTAGCCAATGCTATGTCGATAACATTCCGCGCATTGGTTGCGATATCGGCTTTGGTGCTGGTCTCAGTGTCACTATCGCCAGCTTACTACATGTGTGAACCGAACTTTTGCTAATTATGCGGACAGTGCCCGAGAGAAGTGTGATGGCGTCCAACCTCAATGCTTCTCCTGTGTTACCTTGTCGCGGCCATGTACATACAATGTCGCACCGAAGAAGCGCGGCGTCCAGACCGGCTTGATCCGAACTCTCGAGCTTGCCCTCGTATGGCTCTTCGACCAGGTTCCTGGAACAGAAGAGAAGCTGGCGGGTCTACTCACGCAGGAGGGGGGTGGCGGCCAATCTCTCCTCCTCGACAAAGACAGCGAGGCAGGCAATCGCCTTCACAAAAGATGGAGGAGATGCCGCGTCCATAAGGATATTGACCGGCTCCTATCTGGCAAGGACGGCATAAGCCCACGCCAGGATACTTCCGGAGACGAATCGGATGCTGAAGGTGATGGCCGCAACAAACGGAACGGGGAGACTCCGTTGGATGGTCCTGACATCTCTCCGCAACCTAACGCCGTTGACCATAAACCAGACGCCCAAAAGGAACCAGTATCGAGGCAACGGCATGGCTCTAGGTCTCGGCGAAGGTTCAAGTTACCAAGAAATTTTCCTCGATTATTAGAGGTGTACTATTCGTACACCCACAGTTGGCTTCCCATATTAAACTCTAAAGAAACTCTCGATAGCGCTGCGGCCTCGTATCCTCCAGACGGTCTCGATATCGACCCGGAAGACTCAAATAACAGTGCTGCTCATGCTGAGCTCTGGTGCGCTCTTGCCGTCGGGGCATTCCAGGATGCGGCATCATCACAGCCTCCAGGAGGTTCAGAACCACCTGACCGGCCCAGTATGATAACAGCAGCAGCCCGTAGTCTCATACCAGTAGAGACTGACATGGCACTGGGCCATGTGAAAGCACTTCTAGTGCTGTCCTTGGTGAAGCTGGGGCAGGACAACGCCGCAGCAGCTTCTCTATTGATCGGTCTAGCCGTCCGGGGCGCCATGGCCCTGGCAGATGGACGATCACGAAACGGCGGAAGAGAATCGATCTCGGGCCTGTCGGCTTCTTCGACGCAAGAAGCATACTCGACGGCTTTGGACCGGGTCTTGATGACCTGTCTTATGCTGGACACCATCGTTTCCTTAAGGCTTGGTCAGACGCCGCACATGAGGACGAACGACATGAAGGATAGGCCGACAGAGGAGAACGGATCAGAGGAATGGGCACCATGGACGCCCAGAGCTGGATTCGGATTGGAGGACGTTGAAGCTGCTGTACAGCCTGCACAGTCTTTGAGCTCCTTCAATCAGCTCTACCAATTCTTCCGCACACTGAACCAGAGTGTTGAGTCTGGGGGGGCGGGTCCAAAGATTGGTGCCGCGAACCTTGTTCAAGTGCTTGATCCTCGTTTCTCATTTTGCAATTCAGTAGTGTTTGGAGCGTCGACGATACCCATACTCCCATCGGCTTTCCTCATCCAGGCCACCTTCCTCGGCGCGACCTTGACTTTGATGGCCGACCCTCGAGTGTCTCTGATCTGGAGTCTGATGGAAGTTTTGGAGAGTTCGATTTCCCACTTTGGCGCAGCCGGCGTCTCGCCCCTCCTGGTCACATATATGAGCATCGCAAATACCAAAAGTTGCGTCAAAGCTCTCCGCGACGATGATAAGACGCGGTGGAACTCACTGATGGGTAATCTGATGTCTGTCTGGCAAGATCGGACGACGAACGTGGATTCTTCTTCTATGGAAGCGGATCCGAGCGAGCAAACACCAGCTCAGGCCGAGCCGGCTGTGAATCAGTTCTCGCATCACCCATCATCCGCTCGCAGGGACTCGCATTTTCCGCACTTCTCGATGCCTGCGGACTCTTATCATCATCCTAATAGCAACGGATTTTTACCAACAGCATCATCCGTCAGTCCGTCAACGGCAAGAACCATGCCATTTACGCCAGGGAGCCAACTGGATGCATTTCCTTCCGGCTTCATGGGACATTTGTCGTCAGCTCAGGCACCCTATCTGATGGGGCAGGGCGCTCACGGCGTGGATTACGACGCCATTATGGACGAGCTTGCTTCTATCGACTGCACAGATAGTATGGAAGCCGACCCGCAGTTTATGGCCAATCTCGGCTTTGCCCCAGGGTCAGACTTGACTGACATGCTTCGGGGAGAGTATGGAGGAATGTGAGCGAAGTATAATGTATTATGACCTTTAGTAGAAAATGAACATTGATTCCAGTCTCTGGAAATACTATCTGCACGTCACTATTATCTCCTTGTTCTCCCTGTTCTAACGGATCAATACTGCAGTGCTAGCAAACAAGTCTTGCGGTGTGACGAAGAAGTGTTCATCCAGGGCGGGCTTCGCCAAGGGCAGTGATTTGTGCATTCGGACTGTCTAGCCTTTTTCGTCCCTTTCCTTGAAGAAATGCCAGTTGGCTCATCTCTCTTATTTGTTGACCCTCCTGCACCGCCGACAAGACTAAGAGGTCTGGCTTCTTACATGTACTTACGAAGTTACGAGGACTTTCAGAACTTAACCCCGGCAGATTGAAGAGCAGCCCACCACGGAATTACAATCATCAGGAACAGGACTGGACGCCAAGTGCCGCATCCAACCATCCGACAGAAGCACAACGTTTTACCAGAGCAATTTGGAATGGCCAGGCTGTCCGTACCCTGATTTGGCTGTCGAGGCCGTGGCCAGGAGGTGATTATGAAGCACAGCCTAAGACTGTGCCCCGGCTTGCCTCCACTTTCATTGTTTGATGGCACGTACCAAGTCTATAGATACCAACGAGAACCATTTTTGTGGCGACGAAACTATTCACGTGGGGTTATTCAATGCGGAGACTTAAGGTTAAGACGATGCATGTGAGGTTTGGTCTGAATTCGCGTGGCCTGTCAACACATTAAAGTCGTGCAGAGAGATTTATTTGCCCCTATTGCCATCATAATCAAGTCGTGTATCTTGGGTAACCCCGCGCCCCCCCCCCCCCCCCCCCTTTGTTTTTGTTCTTGGCTTCATCACAGGTGGGACAAACTCAACACCAAGCAGTCACAGTCCTTGGCGGCAAAGAATTATCATCCGGGCGGTGATGGCAGGGTCGAGAAGTTGTCTCCGCTAGCAACTTCCAGGACAGCTTAATCGTACAGTCCGAGTGAGGTGAATTGTCGTGGACTCGTGGCCGATAATCATGTGGCCAGGCCTTGGAGAGCGTCCCGGTGGCTTGGTTGGCGCATCTCGACCGGATATTCTCAACTCCACCTTGGCGTATTTCTCTCTCTCTTACACAGACACACACACGCACACACACACACACGCCAACAACCTGATTTGAGCCCCTGCCGACTTGACAGACACAGCATGCACCCCGTAGGCCAGGCATCTTCCCCATATCTGCGTAAGGTTACAGGCAGAGAAAGCTGGGGAACAGCTTCTTCACCCGCATTGCTGTCATTCCGTTCCGTTGGGATTGGCACAAGTTGGGACGTCGGACGACGTCCACGTGCAATGCGAGACAGTCGAATGGCAATAGAGAAGCGCTGACAGGATAAACATTCAACCCACAGCCCCGGTCTGGACAGGGGTTCTCCAGCATTTGGGGGTCTATGAGATTGGATCTAGTTCGGAAGCAGATAGTTGGTGCGGAGAAGAACATGTCTGCCGGGCTCCACGCGTTATGGAGAACGAGTCAGTCATAGGTTGCAGATTTTGCTCCGGTTCGGAGACGGCGCGCCAGTCCAACAACCATCTAGTTGGAGGGAGAAGCGTTCACCCCAGAGTCAACATTCCGGAATCTCCATACGCATGAGCGAGTTTGTTCGTGTAGCGTACCCCAGATCCCATTCGTCCACGGTCCAGCCGCTCGATTCCCTCCCCGTGGGATGACCCAAACTCCGCTGCTCCAGACCCCCAGACTTTACCCCAGACGAACCGATACGTGCGCCACCTGTCAGTCAGTCTTTACCAAGTTGTTGGAGAGCCAGAGAGCCCTGACGCATCCATATAACAAAGGCAACCCTGGACCGTCGTAATCTGATTTTTTTTCCGTCTCTCCTTAAGACTCTTGACTCTTCAACCCCAACCTCGAAGACTTGGAGTTCAGACGGTCTCAACTTCGCCTCGAACATCAGCAACCGCCAGACACCTCCAAACAAATTATCACCATGGCTCTCCTCACTCTCGTAGAGGACCGCCCGACGCCCAAGGCGGTTTACAACTGGCGCGTCTACTTTTGTGCAATCATCGCGTCCTTCGCCAGTTGCACCATCGGTTATGACTCTGCCTTCATCGGAACCACTCTCGCCCTGCCCTCCTTCATGGAGGAGTTCCAGTTTGCCTCCTACAGCAAGGACGGTCTGGCTCTGCTCAAGTCCAACATCGTTTCTGTCTACCAGGCTGGTGCCTTCTTCGGAAGTCTGTTCGCCTACGTCAGCAGTTACTTCCTTGGCCGCAAGAAGAGTCTGATGCTGTTCACTACGATTTTCCTCCTCGGTGCCGGTATGATGCTCGGCGCCAACCGCGCGCGCGGCCTCGGTCTCATCCTCGCCGGCAGAGTACTTGCGGGTATCGGTGTGGGAGGCTGCTCCAACATGACTCCCATTTACATTTCGGAGCTCTCTCCTCCCGCCGTGCGTGGACGTCTCGTCGGTATCTACGAACTCGGATGGCAAATCGGTGGCCTCGTCGGCTTCTGGATCAACTACGGCGTCGACTCTACCATGGCTCCCAGTCACAGCCAGTGGCTCATTCCTTTCGCCGTCCAGCTGATTCCTGCCGGCCTCTTGCTCATTGGAGCTCTCTTCATCCCCGAGTCCCCCCGTTGGCTGTTCTCCAAGTACAAGAGAGAGGAGGCGATGAAGGCTCTTTGCTGGATGCGGTATGTGCCCCACAATCCATTATTTCGCTTATGACCCTCAGTCTAACAACCGCTTTTTCACAGAAACCTGTCCCCTGAAGACAAGTACATCATTGAAGAGGTTCAATACATTGATGCCGACCTCGAGCGCTACCGCCAGGAAGTTGGCGCCGGTTTCTGGAAGCCGTTCGCTTCTCTCAAGCAGAGCAAGGTCCAGTGGCGCTTCTTCCTTGGCGGCATGCTTTTCTTGTGGCAAAACGGCTCTGGGTAAGCGAGCAATCCTCCATGTTCAACAACACGTAGCCGAGTCACTAACATAGTCCTCAACAGCATCAACGCCATCAACTACTACAGCCCCACGGTCTTCAAGAGCATTGGCATCACCGGTACCAACACCAGCTTCCTCACAACTGGCATTTTCGGTGTCGTCAAGACGATTGTGACCTTCGTGTGGCTTCTGTGGCTCATTGACCACCTCGGTCGTCGCAACCTGCTGATGATTGGTGCCATTGGCGGCTCTTTGTGCATGTGGTACATTGGTGGTTACCTCGCTCTCAACCCGGCATCCGGAAACGGTGGCGGCCTTTCCAGCGGCGGTATCTCCGCCATGGTTTTCTTCTACCTCTGGACAGTGTTCTACACGCCCTCGTGGAACGGTACCCCTTGGGTCATCAACTCTGAGATGTTCGACCAGAACACTAGGTATGCCGAAGTCTACATCATGTCATCCGTGGCCATATCACTAACATGTACTCTCAGGTCCCTTGGTCAAGCTAGCGCAGCCGCCAACAACTGGTTCTGGAACTTCATCATCTCTCGCTTCACCCCGCAAATGTTTAATGCGTGGGGCTATGGAGTCTACTTCTTCTTCGCCTCGCTCATGATTTGCTCCGCCATCTTTATCTTCTTCCTGATGCCTGAGACTAAGTCCATTCCTTTGGAGACCATGGATCGTCTCTTCACCATTAAGCCTGTCTGGAGGGCAAACAAGACCATTATGGCCGAATTGGCGGAGGAGCAGGGTTTCAGACAATACTCCGACGATGGATCCGGAGAGAAGTCTGATGATGCGGAAATCAACCAGGTAGAGAGGAAGGGCAGCGTTTAATGAATGGGTTCACGGTTTACTAATATGATATGAAGGACGTTTGAATGGTTAGAGCAGCTAGGTGGATATTCCAAGATTCCAGTCTCTAGGAATTCACAAGCTTCCATCCCGAGCCGATTCCCCAAGTGACCCATAAAGCGAATCAGCGAGTCACACCCGAGACACAAGTACAAGTCCCAAGTCTACGCACGAGCGGGGGTAGAGCGAGCGAGGGTGTCGAGGGTTAATAAGGACGGGAGGAATGTAGGCGAACCAGGGGTGATACCGATGCCAAGCCGAGGTCCTGCACGAGGTGCAATATTAAGCAAAGTAAGCAAAGTCCCGCTCTTAGCTGTCGTGGCAGGACGGATAGTTTCGATGGTGACGGCTAGTCGTTTGGCCACCCGTCTTGGTGGTTGTGTATCTGTATCTTCTTGTTCTATTCGGCGCGAGAGAGGAGTTAGTTAAGGTCGAAGAACCAAAAGCAAACCACAGCTGGAAAAAGACGACTTCAAATACTTCTACAGTTACAGACCAATGATGGGCCTTGCAATACGCGAGGCGTTTTGTACATGTACTTCGCAAGACCTGATCATGTTTCGTAAGCACAGCGTGGAGGGAATGATCCCATCTGGGCCTTCTAAAGCTCAATTGTGGTACGAGAAGACCGTCAGTGCAGGGGTATTCTGCGGCTCACGAAAATAAGAGCGCACGCCGGGTAAATGTTACTGAAACTCGCAATGTATATGCACGGTACAGTTACAGACCAAAAGGTTACGAGTTGCCCTTGGTCCATTCTCTGGGGACAAAACTTGTCTGGTCACCGTGATCTCGGGCAGAGGTGGAAACGTATTTCCTGGAGCAACTCAGGGCCACCCGTAATGTTTTCGTCCCGGGGCCTACGATATGTCACATTGTCTTCGTCCGGGACCATGCACAATCAATCTTCCTGGACTCGAAACCTGGCAGATTCTCTGCTTAGATTGGAAAATCATTGCGAGGAATAGGAACAATTGCATTGGGCGAAGACTGCTGTTCATTCTGTGAAATGACATCGAAGCATTTTGCACTGAGGACGGCTGTCCGTTGTCTAAAACACAACTACCTACTCAGTACGTTGTTTCTATGCACCTCATACAAAGAATCGACTTTAATCCAATCAGACGAGGATTGAAGCAAACACTCCATCTCGTTGTGTAACCCTACTATCCCTTCAGTGGATCAAGCATGTAAAGGAACAAAATCAATGCAGGGGCAGCAAATGGGAATATTTGGATACAAATATCCGTACCTCTCTATTATTTTAGGTCGAATTCATTTCACCTGCCTCAGGGTTCACTGCACCTTGAATGTGGACACAAGATAACACATCTTCGAACTGGACAATCACTAGACCTAGATGAGTTTGGTGGCCATCATTCTCCAGCGTCGAAATCGTTGCTCGTGGACGATACTATCTGGGGCTCTGGGCTCGCAGCTATGCTGATCCGCCGCTCAGGTTAGATAGATCACGCTGACAGAAGTAATGTGGAGAATTGCAAGGATCTTCTTGGTGTGTACCAGCTTATGGGAGAGTCTTTATCCGCAGGTTACCAGTCCCTGTTTGGTGTATGTTTTACCAATTTGCATTGAAAGGACAAAGACCGTCCAAACACCTAGCCTACGTGTCTTCCTAAACACGGTGCACATGTTCAGCTCAAGTTGACTAAGAAATTGTGAAAGAGTTGTGCGCAAAACGGCCAGGAGATACCGTCAAACTTGTGCATGAGGTCAACGCGGTGTGTGATTCAGATGCAAGGCACCATTCACTCAGTTAAGATAGGAGTAGCATCATGCATCTATCCAGACTTTATGAAGCTTCATCAAAGTCATCGTTTTCTGTTAAAACAGTCGCTGAGGATCTAGCTATGCAAGGTGTCTATGGTGGTCATTATTATTTTACAATTTTGAGTGTTGTGACAGCTTTGCCGCAATCACATCCTTTACCTTTTGAACGGTAAGTTCGTCAACCTCCTTGCCAGTCCAGTACCGGTCCTATCAAGATGTTAGAAATGTGTATGTTAGATGGGGTTCAGATTTTGTGCTGACTGACCTGTTCAAGACCTTGGTAGATCATGGCTTCAGTGCCCAGGATCACTTGCCAGCCGGCATCCTCTGCGAGAGCACCGATTTCTGTGTAGGGCGTGGGGTTATAGCACATCTCGAGGATAGCGCCCTTGCGATCCTTGTTCAGGAACTCGACGATAATCTCACGCGCCACAATCTCCTCTGCTGTCTTGGGAGTGAAGTTGGGTACGCACGCCACAATAGCGCCGGGGGCGTCGAGGTCTCTCGCCTCCTCGACGGTGGAGACGTGATACAGATTGTCTCCATATCCCCGCGCGGAGCACTCTTCGATGACTGCGTCGACTTCGCTCTTGTCACGGTTGACGAGGTAGATATCGGTGGCCTTCATCCACTTGCGCAGAGCGTAGACGGCACTTCTGGCCGCACCGCCGCCTCCGATGACAAGAGCCGGCTTGTTGTGGTAGACGGTATCAGGGTCGGTGACGTTCTGAACAAAAGACTCACGGACGCCGATTACGTCCGTGTTGGTGCCGCAGTATATCCGCTTGCCGTCGCGTTCTCTGATGAAGAGTGTGTTGCAGGCGCCAACATCGCGGCACTCATCCGTCAGCTCGTCGAGGTGAGGGATGATGGCAACCTTGTTGGGCATGGTTACTGAGCTGCCGTAAAATTTGGGGTGCTTGATGAGTTCCAGAAACAGCGACAAGTCTGCCGAGTCCAGTCTCATTTGCTCCCATTTCAGGCCAATGCCCTCGTAAATGGTGGTGTGCAGGAGTGGTGACAAGGAATGTGTGATTTTTTGGCCAAACAGGTAACCGTGGCGGTCAAGCTGCTCAATCTTGACCGCAATAGTGTCTTCCACCTGGTCGATGGGAGCAGCACTGGCCATTGTTGCTTGATGTGAGTTGGTTGAGTTTAAGAAAGTGAGTGATGCTGAGATGAGATCAAGGATTGTCTGTCTCTCTTTCTCTCTTGCTTGAAAGTTTCGAATGATATCTGCAAGGCTCTTCTGTGCAACTGACTGAAGAATGATAGGAATGGCGTTATGGCAAGATGCAACAAATGGAGAAAACCAGGGCTCTTTTTAGTCTAAAATACGGTGGGAATTGTCAACCGCAGAAAATGGGGGGGAAATGGGGTCTAATGGAAGCCACTTTTTGTGCCTCGCTCTTATTCCCTTCTTCTTGTCTCCAAATGGAGCTTCATCGGTCCAATGATAGCTGTATCGAATTAATCATTCTTGCGGAATACGGGGAAAAGTCCGGGGCACTGGGACGGGCTTCTCGAGATCGCGTGGAATCCGCATCAGGGCTTTTCCCATCGGCATCTCGCTGCGATTTCAGAGGGGGACTTCCGGCAAAGAACTCTCCAGCCAACAGCCAGTGAGAAGTGCCGGGCAGTCTGGGCCTCAGAATGGTGGGCATACGACACAAAAGACACCCGCCCCCCCCCCGTTCGCTTGGTGCTCCCACTCATCCGAGTAGCCATTCTGGAGAACGTTTATCCTGTGGCCTGGAGAAGTGTTCTTCCTGACAACCGGCAGCGCCTGACAAGTTCAACGTCACCAGCCGTCAGTCTAGCTTGGTACGCCTCCCATCAACCACCACACTCAGTGATGGGCATCGTACATGCCGCTACCACAGGCTTGGGGTGTGAGAGACGTGCGGCAGCGCGTCATTCAGACTGGTCCGGCTACCTTCGGGCGCCCCAGAAATCCCCAGATCGGTATGCTTGCAAACATCTGACGCCGATAAGATGGGGTAGTTGGCGGGTGAATGACTTTCCTCCTCCTCCTCCTCCTCCTCCCTCCATCGCCCCTCGGGCGTCCGGTGTGACCCGGATACAGCATGGCAGCAGACAAGATCATTGGGTAAAGCTACCTACCGTTCTCTGCGAGAGAGTTGCCGTATGGGTCTGCCATTGCCATTCTGCTTAGATACGGGAATCGAGAGCTGCAAATAATCTTCCTGATCCCCTGCTGCCGAGGGCAAATGTATACCAGTGGACGTCCACCTCTTTAGGCCCAAGTCCTCCCTCCATCCTTCTTCTAAGTCCTTCTTACTACTCCCAAATACCAGAACGACACATAACACCTCGTTGTTGAATTGTTTGTGTGTTGTATTCGCATTCATTCGCACTAGATACCCTTGCTATTCTATCGTCAACAACCTCACATCTCACACACAATCACAATGCCTTCCCGGTTAGGAATCAGCACAATGTCGCTCGGCCGATGCTGGGCTGGCCACAGCTTTGAGCACAAGATGGACATGGCCGCCAAGTATGGGTACCAGGGCATTGAGCTTTGGCACGAGGATCTCATGGACGTTGCCGAGCAGTTGCCCGGCGGTGCTGCCTTGATCGACAACCAGCTCGCTGCTGCTGGAATTGTCAAGAGAATGTGCGATGTCCGCAACATCGAGATCATCTGCCTTCAGCCCTTTCAACACTTCGAGGGGCTCATTGACCGGGAGCAGCACGCCCGCCGCATCGAGGAGTTGCGTGTTTGGATCCAGCTTGCCCATGTCCTCGGCACAGACTTGATCCAGATTCCCAGCAACGTCTTGCCCGCAGAGCAGGTTTCTGAGGATCTTGAACTTCACATTGCCGACCTGGCTGAAGTGGCAGACATTGGTGCTGCGTCCAACCCCCCTATCCAGTTCTCATATGAGTCTCTCTCCTGGGGAACGAGAGTGGATGTATGGGAGACGTGCTGGGAGGTGATTCAACGGGTCGACCGGCCCAACTTTGGCATGTGCCTCGATACATTCAACATTGCTGGCCGCATCTTTGCGGACCCCACCGCAGCTTCCGGAAAGGTGGTCGATGCCGAGCAAGCTGTCAAGGACTCTATTCAGCGGTTGCTCACGACTGTCGATGTCTCCAAGATTATTTACGTCCAGGTCGTCGACGCTGAGCGCCTCGCTGAGCCTATCTGCGAAACGCACCCCTACTACAATGCCGAACAGCCGCACCGCATGTCTTGGTCAAGAAACTGCCGCCTGTTCTATGGCGAGTATTCAAGAGGCGCGTATCTTCCTGTCCGGGAACTCTGCGCCGCCATCTTCCAGGGTCTCGGTTTCGAGGGCTGGGTTAGCTTTGAGTTGTTCAACAGGAGGATGTCAGAGGAAGACCACGGTGTGCCCGAGGAGTTGGCAAAGAGGGGAGCTGTCGCTTGGTCTAAGCTCGTGAGAGACATGAAGCTGAGAGTAGAAGAGCCATCAGCACAGGTCACGGCGTCACTATGAGGGGACAAGACGGCACGAAGAATGAACATTTTGCATAGCGATTGTATAGTATTTACACTACTGGTTCTTTTCCTTTGATGAAACCAATAACCTTATCGATGTCTTCAGATCGATATTGCCTTCTGCTGTTTTGAATCCGTGTACGTGATATGTTGCAAACTATCTTCCTCAAAAGCTACCGAGATCTAATACTCGCCGAGGGGTGGTGTGTGAACCTACTTATGATGTGGTCATAATCACTTGAAATTTGAATCCTTAGACTGCAAGAGAGTTGTCACGCAGTATTGATACAGAGTGTCTGGCGAATGGGTCCTGTCATGTGCTCGTCTTCGTCTTGATGTGAGCTTGATGAATGGTGTTGTTTTCTTCTCTCTTAATCAGAGGTCAGCTAAATTGAATGAATCTCGCGCCTAGATCTGAGGTAGACTGAGTCTCTGACTTCACAATTCGTTGACTTCTTAGGATGCGCCTACATGAGAGCTTCACCGACATTTACGCGACTGCAAGGCAATGACCGCATTATTTCATACAAGACTCAGGTCATCCATCTCTGTGTTTCACTCCGTCTTCACTCATCTTGAAACCCTTGGGTCATCAATGTTGTAGACAGGACACGGTGGGTATCCGTACTCGAGTGTGCCCCTCCTTTCTCGGAAATCTACCACCCGCTTTAGTAATGGGCCTCAAGTACCATTTCCGTCCGGATAGCGGCCAAGGGGACCAATTTTGAACTCTTTAGGCGGGGTCCTATGCGGGGATGCCCCGCTGATAGAGCACCGGTTGTCATCCGCAGTGCTTCCGCACTGGCTCACTCTTCGGTTGGCGGCGGCCCAGCTGTCGAGTCACCACTGGGGCGATTTGCAGCTTAGCAGGTGCTCTGATAACGCCAGCTACCTTCCTTACCTTAGGTGAACCCGGTGCCGACTGCGGACAGCTTGTCTCGTTGCCTCGTGCTCTCTCTCTCTCTCGCAGTTTCACACAACTCTTCTTCTTTCTGACTCTTTCGTTGTTTGACATGCTTGCTTCGTAAGGAAGCTTTCCCGTACAGCTTATTCAACCAATCCTTCCAGTCATAGATCGCACAAATCCTAGAAACCGTCAAAATGGCCGACATCAGCGACGCCGAGCTCCGCGAAATCTACGACTTTGCCGTCCAATTGGGCAAAGAGGCGGGAGAGATGCTCATGACGGCAGCCAGGTCAAGATGGGGATCCGGAGGAGAGACGCAGGCATTCACGGAAAAGGATAACTCGGTCGATTTGGTGACCAAGACAGACACAGGTCCGTTTACGTTGACTCTGCATTTGCCCATGGCCCAATGCTCGTTGAGGCAACTTGCCTCTTGCTGACAGCACGGTTGCCCACTGTTAGAAGTCGAAGCTTTCATCCACTCGTCCGTCGCAAAGAAGTATCCCACCCACAAGTGAGTTGACTCACCCTTGAGCTTCGACTTTGCAATGTCTCGAACAGTCCGGTACTGATCAGGGTGCAGCTTTCTCGGCGAAGAGACATATTCGGCCGGCGCATCGCGTGATTACCTCGTCGACGAACGGCCGACGTGGATCGTCGATCCCCTCGATGGCACCGTTAACTTCACCCATCTATTCCCAATGTTCTGCGTCTCCATCGGTTTCGCCATCAAGGGGAAGCCCGTCATTGGCGTCATCAACGCCCCCTTCTTGAACCAAACTTTCTCGTCGCTCAAGGGCCATGGTGCATGGATGAACGAGACACAGAGGCTGCCGCTTGTTCTGAACCCGCTGCCCGCCAACGCGCCCAGCGGCTGCGTCTTCTCCTGTGAGTGGGGTAAGGACCGTCGAGACACCCCAGATGGCAACATGCACCGCAAGGTCGAGAGCTTTATGAATATGGCTGCTGAGCGCAAGGGACGAGGTGGTAAGGGTGGTATGGTGCATGGCATGAGGAGCTTGGGAAGGTGAGTTCGATCAAGTCTGTTGCGTGAAGTGCCCTAGGTGGGCGCGCTTGCTGACGATATAGTGCTACCCTGGATCTGGCATACACAGCAATGGGATCATTCGACATTTGGTGGGAGGGCGGATGCTGGGAATGGTGAGCTAACCCGACTATCACAGACTCCACAAGTCATGGAAACTGATGTCACTGCTTTAGGGACGTTGCTGCGGGCTTTGCGATTCTCGAAGAGGCCGGTGGTCTCGTGACAATAGCCAACCCTCCCGAAGACACGAGCGTTGTTCCGGAAGCGAAGCTCGGAGGCAGACTGTACCTCGCCATTCGGTTCGTCGAGCCCTCGGACGATACTAGACATTGCTGACATTACACAGCCCCGCAGGATCGACCGAGACCGAGACGGCACGACAGGCACAGGAGAGAGTGGTGCGGGAGACGTGGAAACGAGTGAGAACATTGGACTACTCAAGACCCGGCGCGTAGGCGATATAAATATCAGAAGCAAAAGGAAGACAAATAGAAGGAATCCAATCTAACCCGATTCAAAGATCAGTCTTTGCCTGCTCCCCTGCCCACGCTCTACGGATGATTTCACGTATCGCAGCTTTCTCCAGAGGACGGGGGTTCCAGTATGGCTCATCGGATGCAACGTCAGCAACACGATCAATGTCTTTCTCCTGCATACCAATCTCCTTGAGGCCCGTGGGTATATTCAATATTCGAAGTAACTGATTCAGACCGGCTACTATACCTGCAGTGGAGTTCTCAGTACTCTGCGCAAGGGCGGAGGAGAGCTTGGTTATAGTGGCCTCGGGAAAGGCGTGAGCGTTGAACGCCATACTATGGGGCAGGAAGATGGAGTGTGTCTCCGCATGAGGGAGGTTCAGAGTGCCGCCGGCCGCGTGAGCCAGCTTATGCTGCAGGGCAATACCGGTTGCTGCTGCCAACAAGCCAGCCAAGAATGCGCCGTACAGAGCCGAGGTGCGTGCCTCAACCGAGAAAGGGTCTGACACGAGTACGGGTAGGGCGCTCGACAGTGCCCTGATGGACTCTAGAGCAAAATGGTCCGTCAGCGGGCTAGCTTGGCGGGAGTACAATGCTTCCACTGGATCATACGTCAGTTCCAGCTTGAGGTTGACACTTGGTACAAGTGGCCTACAGGAGTGTGCCATGGCGTTGAGACCACTCGGACCGCTGACTTTGACCGGCAGATCCATGGTCAGGCTGACGTCGTAGATGACTACCTTGGGTAAGATCTTGGGGTCCGTTGTTGACGTCTTCTTGCCATCTTTTGTCTCTCCAATGATGGGTGTCATCTCGGAGCCTGAGTAGGTTGTCGGAATAGCCACTTGGGGCATGTTGGTGCGAAGAGCGATTGCCTTCCCTAGACCGACGGCACTGCCGCCTCCGACTGATACGAGAACATCGCGGCCCTGTGCTCGGTCAACCGCGGGACCGATGATATCGCTCGGGTTATGGACAATGGCAGTGTCGAGGATATCAGAGTCTGAGAATCCCCCTTCTCTCAAGTTATCCTGAATCGTTTTGGCCAGAGAAGTCCGAGACGGGGAGCAGATGATGAGAGGTTTTGAAAGTTTGCGGGACTTGAGTTCGCTGAGTAATTCATTGACAGTGCCCAGTCCGAACAAGACCTTGGGGGTGGTCATGCCGAAGACGAAGGGATTAATAGCGTCCATGGCATACGGCGGCTACTTAATCAGTGCCTGTGTTTAGAGAAATGATTCCTGGTGAAGGTTGGGAAGGAAGACCTAAGCGCATTTATGCAGAAAGCTTGCCGTTTATTCTGTCAGTTGTTTGTCATCGGCGGGGAGCGGGGTCCGACCGCTGCGGAGGTCACTCAAAGTCCCGGGCCCGGCGTTGAAGGTCGGCAATCGACAGATAGGCCGGAGGGAGGACGGAACTATCTCGTCAAACGTCTCCAAGCCCTCCAGCCATTGCGGTTTGAGTCGTCACTGCCGCAAGGAGATGCTCGGTCCTTTTCTACTCTCGGTGGTTGGGTGTCCAGAGAGATCTATGCCTCTCGGGGAAGTCACGGCTTCGTCAAGAGGCAACGAAATTGAATGTGTTCCATTAGCGGCTCATCCTTTACTACAGTTGGCACTGGAGGGTATCATTAAATAGATGGAAGATATCAAACTAGTCCAAACCGTCAAAGCCTAGAATGCCGTGTGCACCCATGGGACCAAGCTTATCGGCTCCCGTGTTCTGGCGCTTGTTTCGCGGCTTTGAGTCGTCGTCACTGTCGCTATCATCGTCGCTGTCACTGTCTGCTCGACGCTTACCAGTGGTATCGTCATCGTCATCGCCGCCGCTCTCGCTATCCTCGTCACTGCCTTCGGCCTCACCCTGAAGCTCCGACAGCTCCTCCCACACCTTCACCGTCTTACCGCCGGCTGTTATCAGGCGGTTTTGAGAGTCGAATGCAACGGAGATGACACCTTCAACGTCATCGTGTCGGAGATTCAGGGACTTGTCGACTTCTCTGGTGACCAAGTCAACCACCCGGAGGCTTCCGTCACCGAGGCCGACGACGAGCTTCTTCCCCAGCCCGAGCTCTTCAGGAACCAATGCCAGTGCGTCCAGACTCTCGCCGCCGCTCTTTCCGCCGTCAACAATGATGCGCTCTTGTTGATCATCCCATGCACCCTTGTCCCAGACCGTGACTACTCCGGAACCGGAGCCGACGGCGACAATACCGTTGTTTCTATTATTCTTGGGGCCGAGACCGGGGACGTAGGCAGCAGATAGAAGCTCGTCTTCTTGGTCGTCGGAGCGGACAAGAACACCCCTGCGCACATCTGTCACAGCGAGCGTCGTGCCGCCGATAGACACCCATTGCTTGGAGAAGCCAGAGGTGCTCTCGGCGGATGGAGGCAGCGGGACGATAGCAGAGACGTAGTCGGAGTGAGGAAAGTGTGTCTGCGCAGGCTTAGCCGAGGGGACGCCGTCTCGCAGATCAAAGATGTGCATTGCTCCGGAGTCGCAGCCGAGAAGGAGGCTTTGAGGGCTCAGGACGTGCATGAGAGTCGGAGCGTCGATCTGCTTGTTCGAGGAGGGAATGATGACTTTGGAGATGACCTTGCCAGTCGTGGGGGAGAAATGCTTGATCAAGCCATCGGTACCGGCGGAGTAGAGGGCTAGCGATTCCAAAAAAAAAAAAACAGAAGTCAGCCACGGTTTCGGGAGGTGAGTCCAGTGATGTCTGCAGCGCATTAGGAGCATAGCTACTTACCAGAACCATCGTGGCTGTAGGCCAGGGCTCTGCAGCTTCCCTTGTGACGCCTTGTACGCCAGACGCTATCGATGGCCCCCCGACCGGTCGATGTTATACTCGTATCTGGGTCATCGGATGCTTCAGATTCGTTGTCGCCCGAGGAAGGGAGGCGGAAGGTTTCAACATGGCCGGTAGACAAGCCAACGGTCAGTAGCGGCTCGGTAGGATGGAGGACCTGGGTGAAGACCTCAGCGGAGAGGGGGAGGGTGCAGAGGTTCTCAAACATGATTGCTGCATCAATTGAGCAGGAGAATCTCTGTTGGAGTAACCAGCTGTGGCAATGTGAGAAGGAGGCCGTGGGGGAAAAAAAAAACAAGTCGAGGCGGATTATAGGTCAAAGCAGGAAGAAGGCTGAGTGACTTAGACACGCGCAGGCGGGATGAATTTTTCGAGGTGAAGGACTCACCGAAGGTTAGGGGACCCCACCAGAGCTCTCACCGAAGCGCAGATACGGCACTAGGCTGCTTCTGGTCAAGGTGAAGAACGGGCCGGGGGAGGACCTGGTCGACATGCACTTGGATGTACTGTAGGTATCCGTCCTCCGTACTCCGTACAAAGTCTGGAAGCCACAAAACGCAGAACACCCGAGCGTTCGGTTTCATGTCTCTTTGTTGAATGTTGCCGATTCCGCACAAACAAGGGACTGTATCGATGGGAACTTGGAATACCTACCTTGAGCTTTCCAGGTTCGTCCCTCTGCATCAAAGTTACATTCAAGCTCCATGGTCACGTTTCCTTCGCTGCAACACTCCATCCGGGCGGTCGGTCATTGCCCCGCGTGAACCGGCGACTTCAAAATTGTCCCATCGGCAGAGTTGTCAATTGACCTAGAGCAGACACCTCGGGCGCGGATACAATGAGGATTGTTGACACGTATTGTACTCCAATTGCTGTACCTCTTTTCGGTTTTGAGAACACTTACTTTGCTTGAGGTTTCCGGCATTGGGATGAGTAATACCGAGTCCCTCATTTTCTTTGGGATGTACCTTATCTTACCTACCTAAGGTAAGTACCTAACGTATTCTGTTCCATTGTCTTCAAGATGCCTTGCATTGGGTTGAGATATTCCCGAATATTCGTATCTGTCCGCCTTGGAAGCAACGTCTCGTTGCCTTAAGGTTAATTGCTGCGGGGTCCCCCCCCCCCCCCCGGCAAGCAGTTGCGCCAATGCCGCCAAACATCACGGGAGCACCGTCTTGAGGTGAGGTACCTCCATTCCATCGCCCGGTAGGTAGGAAACTGAGGTACCTACTAAAGGTAAGGTACCTTGGGGCGCATCCGCCACAGCGGGGTTCCTGCACCGAGAAGATCCCGGCGAAAAGAGGAAGTTGAGGAAACATCGGACACCCGGCAGCTGATTCACCTGTTGTTTCTCCTTCCCGGTCTCTTCTGTACCGCCCGCCTTTACTTCTAGTCTTTTCCTTTGTTCAAGTCTGCTTTCCGTTTCCTGGCTGTCTCTCCCTGACCTCGTTGCCCTCTTGCACCTCTCGCTCCCATTCTTCATCTCCAAGCTCATGCCCGCGCCCTGCGAGAGCTTCCACAACTCGAAGCCATCCTCCCTTACCACGTCGGCACAGACATGAGGCTACTGTTCACCGCTCTGGGCGGTCTGCTCGTACTTCTGCAGTCCGCCGCAATGACCTCCGCCCAAGAGACCGCCGGAAAGGCTGCATCAGATCTCAAATGCGTCATGTATCTCACTGGGTGAGTGAATAGCTTCCGCTAAAGCTCATCACATGGCGGCTTCGGTAGGTAGCTAAGGCAAACGGATATGAACCGCTAACCCAAGCCACAGCCAACACCCCAACGTCCCTTCTAGAGAACTTGTGTCTCACATCACCCACGTGGAACTGGCTTTCATGAACTCGGATACCTTCAATAAGGACGTGGCCGAGTGGCCCCTCTTCACCACCGTCGACAAGGTCCGCACACAGTTCATGCCTGGCACCAAAGTCATGGTCGCCATTGGCGGTTGGAGCGACACCAAGGGCTTCGACACCGCCGCTCGCACCCCGGAGTCGCGGAGGAAGTGGGCCCAGAATGTTGCCGACATGGTCAAGGCAACAGGTGCAGACGGTATTGATATGGATTGGGAATACCCCGGGTGAGCTTCAATCACCCGACTACCTACAATTGCGGCCACTACGAAGGGCCGCAGCAGAGACATTTACTAAACCCTAGTCTAGTGGCAATGGCGAGGACTACAAGGTCAAGAACAGCACCAACGAGGAAAAGAAGTGGGAGATAGAGGCATATCCCTTGCTGCTTGAGGAGGTTCGCAGACAGCTCCCAAAGGGCAAGCTCATCTCGGCCGCGACTCCGGGTCTCGAGCGCGACATGATTGCCTTCACCAAGGAAACGGTCCCTCGTATTGTCCGCAGCCTCGACTTTGTCAATGTCATGACGTACGATATGATGAATCGCCGCGATAATGTGACCAAGCATCACACAGGCATGGAACTGTCCAGAATTGCCGTCGACAACTACATGGCCAGAGGAGTCCCGGCTCACAAGATCAATCTCGGCTTTGCCTTTTACACCAAGTGGTTCAAGACGACGGATTGTCCAGAGGGGAAGGAGGTTGGGTGCCCGACACCGCTTATGGAGGATCCCGTTACGGGTGGAGATCTAGGCCAGACAGGAGGCTTCAGCTGGAACGACGGGGTCCAAGAAGATGTAAGGGCTTCTTTCGAGAGAGCTCAAAAAGAGGGCAAGTATGACAAGGAGGGCGGAGGCTACTACTACCTTGACAGGGCCGAGAAGCGTTTCTGGACATACGATACCCCCGACGCGATCCTTCGCAAATTCCCCGCCCTTGTCGACGAAAAGAGACTCGGTGGCGTATTCGCTTGGGGCCTGGGCGAAGACGGCCCCGAGTATAACAACCTCAAGGCGGTCAACAAAGGCCTGGCGGAGCGCAGGGGCAGAGGAAGCTTTCCTTGGGGGCCTGGCCCTCACGAGGCTGATGAGCTGTAGGTGACCCCTGACAGAGCCAGCGAAGCTTTACCGTTTTTTTTTCTTCGTTTTTTTTTTGTGGTTATGTGAACAATCAGACTCACTGCTGGGTTGCGCATAGTGCCAATCGTGCACCATAGCACGTCAATTGAGGACGCTGACTGATGAATCTCGGTCTATAATTCTGGGCTTGTATGAGGTTATTGGAGTGTGGTCGACGATGGTAATGTTGAAAATTACGACGTCGATTGGTGACCTACGCCTGCCCGCTGTGGTGAAGACCCTATAAAACTGCAGTTGATTCAAGACTCTGCGACTGGCAAGTTTGGTTCTCTGCGGCTGTGCCTGTACACTGCGTCCGGTATGCATAAAATGGGTTATCGCTCTTGACAGTTCCCTTGTTGTAAGGCTCACAAGCTGGCTGGCCATGTGGATGCCGAGGCGGATGATGGCGTCTATAGCTACCTAGCTGTATCCAGATTCCGTAGGATTGGAGGTCGTGTGGGTAGATACGTGTAAATATAGGTCGTGGGTAGGTATCTAATCTGCACGCGGACTTGCATCTCTGAAGCTGGTGTTCAACCTAGATACCTAATTAGGTACCTAAGTATGTAGTGTCTCTGACCCGACACTAGCTTCATCTACCAGCATTCGCGCAGGGGGCTGGTAAGTTGGCTCTAGACTCTAGTGGGCAATAGGGTTGCTCAGCGATCTAGTGAGATGCATGTCTCATCCACATGTCTTGGACAAAAAACTTGCCTCGACGTAATGGCGTTCTGCTGTGCCATGTGGAATGATTGTCGCTGCGAATCCGGAGAAGAGGCACCGTCGTTGATCTTCAGCCGTAGAGAATTTCATGGTCCGTGGAGTGAAGTATCAAGGCCAGGCATCAGATTCGAGCGCGGATACACTATACATAGAGATGAGGAAGTGGAAAGAAGGAATTGACAGGGTCCAAGGGTTAATGGGGTTCAACAGGATCCACCACAAAAGGCTTGGAAGACGAGGATTGGTGGTTGCTGTACAAGAGACTAGGGCAAGACTGAGAGACGAGAGGGCGAGAGGGCGAGACGGCGAGAGCAAGAGGACGCGTAAGTGACTGTAACGGGTTGGCTGAGGCAAGGGGCTGAATGAAGCTTGAAGTGGAAGGCGAGGCGAGGCGAGGTGAGTGAGAGCGGAGGGCGATGAAGGCACCTGGCGGTCTGAGAGAGAGAGGCTGTTGGCCTTTGGCACTGCAGTGTGGCACTGGGTGGGTGGTTGGTTGTAAGTTGGACACGAAGGCCTGTGGACTCACGTCATCAGGGATCAAATTCTTCCCAACCTCAACTCTGGGCCCTTGGAACCTAATCCTTGGAATGTCTACGTAGTCTGTACATACAGTAGAAATCCCGTCCTCGGCGGGTGACGGATATCTTCGTGCCGGAGCCGAGACCGGGGTGGGAGACCCGCTCTTTGCCGGCGTTGGCTTCGTATGCGCCTGCCTCGATTAGGGCTGGCGGCAGTTGACCTTTGGCCCGAGCGGTCGTCGAGCTTCGAGTTTGTGTGCCTGTGCAGCTCAGATGGATGCGCTGGGAATGCTTTTTTGAATTTTATCTTTTAGGCTTGGCTAGCACCGGTAGTTGGTTGGGAGTGCGGAAAGGGCGTGTGTACATGGTGTAGTGCCTGATGATGCACGGGTCCGTCATCCATGCATTACGGGCCAAAAGACTGCAGAATGCAGGGTCGCGAAGAGGTGCGGTCAACCGTGAGGTTGTCAGTGGCTGCCCTGGGCTTGGGCAGCATCAGGATGATTTGATTGAGACTTGATGGATGGTTTCACCGTATGTCTCTCAAGCCGAGTCGATCTGGGGAATGTAGGAATGTGTGAAGCTGTGCAGACGAGACATGTATACCTGAGGTAGGAGTTAAATGGAAACGGAACCCCAAGGTTCATCGTGGAAATGCCCAAGTGGGCAGCTTCTTTCTTCCGTATCTTTTTGATTCCATGTATTATTTACAAGACCTCTTCTACCCAGAGAGTACCGTAAGACAAGGTAGAATCACGTCAAGCGAGGAAACATCAACGGGCATCAAAGGGTCGGCAAGGGCGTTCCGGTCCAGAATATACCTAGCAAGCCGTAGGTACCTATGGCCCATGGAGGAAGTACAAAGTGCGGCTTACATACACTACATACCTTGGGTGAGGTAGGGAGATGGAAGTCTGGACGCATTCCTGGAGATTGCAGAGACACTTTGACGTGACTGGAACATGACATGGCACGCCCGAGTCTTGGACATTTTCATGTTCTCCACTGGATGAAGTGTTACCTAAGGCACTGCGTACAGTAAGTACCTTACTTGTAGGTTGTTCGCTTCCAGGCAGTGGAGGTTCGACAAGATTTTCACTGGGATTGCAGATGATGGAAGGTGCGAGGCACATCTTGGTAGGTACCTTACAGTACTTACCTTGGGTGCCCTACCTGGGTATATCGTGGTTCGAGGTACCTACGCAGAAAAGCCGGGGTGAATCAGCGGAGAGCACCAGCTCAGCACGCTAAGCGAGTGTCATCCGCCACGGTGAGTGGCCTGGAGTGGCTGAGGATTAGCGGCGACTCACCGTTAGCGCCTGTATCTTACTGGCGAGAATGGCCTGTCAGCCCTGGTGGAGGCATCCCAAGGTCGACGATGAGGTCATGCCCACAGCTGGAACCACGTCATTCTCGACCCTCCACATCACTACACGCCCCTCCCTCCACCTCACCTCACAGGCTCGCACGGCACTCGTACACCCCTCCCATTACGCATCGTCAACTCCATCCAATGTCCTCACGCAGGCAGGTAGGTAAGTAGGTACCATACTGCCTTAGACCTTTCTCGCCTGATGACTACGTAGTGGTGACCTTCACCAAGCCCGATTCAACGGCTCTCTGTCTGCTTTTGCACGGCGCGTGAAAGCCGCGGCAGCCAATTCCTGTGCGGTGCGTCCATCTTTCCTTTTGTTGCTATTCTTCCACGCCCCCCCCCATCTGACGACATTCTGTCAACTAGCAATTCGTGGTTCAACAGGGAAAACTCGCCCAGCTTCTGTCACCTCTTGCCCACTACTTATTCAATACCATTGCCTCTGCCAGTTGCTCGTAAAATACTTTCGTCTCTATCCCTTCAACCAACCCCATCAGCCCAGCCAGCTCTTGATCCTCTCCCAAATCTGCGACATCTCCATCAGTCTACATTACTATCAGAGGCACCATTCACACCCTCAACATGGTCTCCTTCGTGCCCATTGCCCACATTGTGGCAGCCGTCTTCTCCATCATCGAGCTCGGCCTTACTTCATATGGTATGTTTACTCCTCTCTCTCCCCAGCCCGGCCTTGCATCGATACATAAACTTACACCATCACAGTTGCCAGCGGCTACAATGGCTACAACGGCTGGAGCGGTTGGTGGTCTCGCTCTCCCGATATTGTCAACTTCCTCATCTTCAACTCCGTCTGGTCGCTGCTCGTTCTCGCCTACGTCGGCCTAACCCCTCTGTACATGACCCGACTCTTCCACAAGCTCGTTTCCCTCGCGCTGCTTGTCATTACCACCATCTTCTGGTTCGCCGGCGCCATCGCCCTGGCTGTCTTTGTCGGAGCTCCTCACTGCGGCGCCAACACGTACTGCGGCTCCGCCCAGGCTGCTGTCGCCTTTGCCTTCTTCATCTGGGCCATCTTCATGTTCCTCACTGTTCTCGACACTCTCGAGGCCATGCGCTCGCGCGGGCATGCCACCAAGCACAACCACGCCTACCCCGGTGCTTAAACGATCAAAATCCATAATGAACGCTATACATTTCGGGTTGATTTTGGATGGCCTCTGGATGACGTGAAAATACCCCGAAGTATGAAACGGAGTTATGGGCTTTGTTTTTCCTGGTGTATTTATCCACCGTTCTGAGTTGGTGTTACGGTTTGCGTTTACAGTCTGGGTGTGTGAGGTTCCAGATCAACATAAATCTTGATCACTATCGATACCCTAATAATATGAATCATGCTACGCGAAAACCCCAATCCCATCTGTCAATCCGTGAAGCATGTGAAAAGTTTTGGATGCCCACCGCTGTCACTGCTGATGTTATCTGAAACCCACCTGCATCTAGTTCGTATGGCTCAACATTTCCTGCTAGAATAGTAGCTTATATAACTGAATAAAATTCAGGCTTGTAACTATCACATTTATTAGCCACCTCATCCAAGCGTGATATCTGATACTAAGGTATTGTTCCGTGCGTTGAACAATATTCACCTTGTTGAATTGCTTTGTGCTTTCATAGAAAAAGAGTGTATAGTCACCAGGTGCCTATTTGATATATCCCGTCAAATTTCGGAAATGTGAAACTGACGAATGATGTTCAACATGGAGCTGCGGGTCATCTTTGTTTCCGTTCCTAGAGTCCGAGGGCGGTTCCTGATGACTTTAGCATTTTGTATATACAATATTCAAACGAGAGGCTTCTACGTCGGGGTCTTGAAGTGTGATGTCTACGGACTAGTGAGGAGGCGAGTGTCCTCTGGTACTTTGCGATATCCCCATTATCCCAGCCTGCCAGACAGATGAAGAATTCGTACGGATGATGAAGATGTTCGAAGCTTTCGAGCCTTATCTGGGTACCGGGAGAGAGAGAGGGGGGGGGGGGGGCTCGCTCGCCGCCAATGACTCGTGGGGTTGATAATGGCGTCTTGGCGGTGATCCGCTCTGGTTGCGATACCGTGGTACGGGAGACTACCAGGTAAGGTAGTTAGATTGCGCCAGGCGGCGATACGGTTTTTTGGCACCGGAGACGCCGGCCGCCGATGATGGGCTCGGCGGCAACAGACAGCTGTCGGGTTTGAACGGTGAGGTGAGCAACAGCTGTTGGCAAGCCCCCGCCGTGGAACTGCCCGGTCGGCCAAGAGTCCGGTATCGTCGGTCAAGAATTCACCTCGGTGTGTCTGCAGGTCGGGCACGTGCATCAGATGCAACCAGTGACCTGAGTACTTGAGTACCTTACCTTACCTTGAGGTACCTTACCTTCCCTAAGGTATGCAGCAGCGGTAGGGCATTTCATTGGGATGAATGGAAGACGCGGGATGGCAACCTTCCTTCCTTATCAGCCCCGAGGTGAGGTGGGTGGGATCGGAGCTTGGGATGGCCCAATTGGCGAATGAGGGGGCGTCCTTCTGGCACGCAGCTCTGCTCCATAGCAGATGCGGGGCCGCCAAGGACATCTAGTGGGGCCGTGCCGCCGTTGACCCCTCACTCTTGCCCTCTCTTACAACCTTCAGTAGGTACACACTCATAGTACGGAGTACCTAAGGTAGGGTAATAGTCCTGGGAAGCAAACAAACTTGAGGAGGCTACTATTCCTCCATAGATGGTATCTACACGGACGGACGACTCTACAGTACTACTGCGCAATATCTTCAATTCTTTCCAGGGACATGATCCTTCCGTTGACACGTGCTGATACCCAGCGCATTCTGCGGCCAACCGTGTAAACCCCCCCCCCCCCCCCCCATTCATCTTATTCCACGCTGCGAATGCTGTGGGTGGTGCTGACCTTGCCCCTGTCTTTCAAGGACCTACTCCATACATGGGACGGAAACATACACATGCGCTACTAAATCATCACAGGGAAGACATCAGACGGCTATACCGAATGCAAGCATGTGGCCCGGCATTTTGCCAGGGCCTATCCAATCTGCAGCCTTTCACGAACTGCTCAGCATCACGTTGAGAGACTAGCAATGCGTTGGTCATCGTAAACCACGTATTCTACCCCGGGGGCCCTCATCAGAGCTATCCGTCATTGCAGCTGCTGGTTGTCTTGGCAGAACAACCACCACGCTCTTCAGGCTCCTGGAGACCGACCTACATAAGACCGGGTTACCTCGACTCGCGTCCGCTCAAGCGACCGGCCGCTTCCCCCTCTCTCCGTCTCTCTCATCTTCAGCTCCCGCTCCAGCTCTAGCAGTCCTTCCTCCCTCGGCGTTGCTCTCGGCGAGTCCTCTGTTGATCGCTGTGTCCCTCCGTTGCGCGAGACATCGACAAATCATCATCGACCGCCAGTCAAGATGCATTTCAACTCCATCGTCGTCTCGGGCCTCGTGGCTGTTGCTTCCCGCCAAGTCAATGCTGTCCCTTGTCCCAAGCCAGCTCCTGTCTACAAGCCCATCACCAGCATTCAATTGGGGCCGAGACCCTACTGGCTGGTCAACGACATGGACGAGGGCCCTCTTAAGGAAAAACTGCAGTCGTGTTCAGAGCAGCCCATCAAGCCCTCCAGCTGGAGCATTGGGCACCGTGGCGGCGGTACTCTGATGATCCCCGAAGAGTCAGTCGAATCAAACCTTGCCGGTGCGCGTATGGGTGCTGGTGTTCTCGAGTGCGATGTTGCCTTCACCAAGGACCGTCAACTAGTCTGCCGTCACTCCCAGTGCGATCTTCACACGACGACCAACATCGTTACCATACCCGACCTCAACGCCAAGTGCACTATTCCCTTCACCCCCGCCGGCAACGGTACGGCCGCGACCGCCAAGTGTTGCACCTCGGACATCACCGTCGCCGAGTTCAAGACTCTCTGCAGCAAGATGGATGGCTTCAATGCCTCGGCCGTCAACCCCAACGACTTCTTGCTTGGTACCCCGAGATACCGCACCGACCTGTACTCTACCTGCGGCACCGTTATGACCCATAAGGAACACATCGCCATGACCAACGACCTGGGTCTTCAATTCACTCCCGAGCTCAAGGTTCCCGAGGTTAAGATGCCTTTCGAGGGAGACTACACGCAAGAACAGTACGCGCAACAGCTGATTGATGAGTACAAGGAAGCCGGCATTGCCCCTGAGCGGGTCTGGCCTCAGTCGTTCTTCTACCCTGATATCCTGTACTGGCTCAAGGCCGAGCCCGACTTCGGCAAGCAGGGCGTTCTCTTGGACGAGAGTGGAGATACCCCCGAGACCTACCCGGGAGCCGTTGCCAACCTGACCCAGTTTGCTGCTGCTGGTGTCAAGATCATGGCCCCTCCTTTGTACTACCTCGTCACCGTCGAAGATGGCAGGATTGTGCCCAGTTCGTATGCGATCAGAGCCAAGGAGCTGGGTCTCAAGATCATCTCATGGTCTTTGGAGCGTTCTGGCTTCCTCGGAGACGACACCAAGGGCGGTTACTACTACACTTCCATCGCCAACGTCACGAACAATGACGGCGATGTCTATAACCTGCTCCACGTGCTTGCCCAAGACGTTGGCGTCTTGAGCATCTTTTCGGACTGGAGTGCCACTGTCACCTATTACGCCAATTGTTTTGGCCTGTTCTAGGTACCTATAAGCTCTGAAACGAGGAGATGTCATAGAATAGGCAAACTCAGTCCCAAACTAATACCATTTTTCACGATAATGATCAACATTAAGGAAGAACATCCGTAGAAGCACCAGTACCAGCTTATAAGCAGAGAAACCGGTTATGAAATCGGTCGTGATTTCCCCCAAAATAATCATGCTATCTCTTTTAACGAACAATTCCAATGGACATTGCAATATTAGGATTGTGTGCTTTACCAGTGAAAGACGAGAGCCGCCCACTGCCTCCCACGGTGTGCTTAGTAGAGAAGATCGTTGACCAATCGACTTACAAGAGTTTCCAATTCAAAGTGGGTATCACTTAATCATCATATCTACACCGAGCTCACCGACAAGGTGAACCTGAGCCTGACCTTGATTTTTAGTACCCCGCCATTAGCGTGACCCCTCCATCGACTGATTCCTCTTCCTCAACCCGTTTACCAGAAAGAAAAAGTTTTTTCTTGGCCTTCGCAAACAGCCGACGGCCATGACAGAACTATCAGCGGCGCCCGTCCTCTCGACGCCCGCCGAACACACCTTTGAAGACCCGACACCGACGCCCCCACCTCCATCGACCGCCGAGCGCAACCATGTTGAGCTCGCTTCCGTCTACGAGATTGAGCGTACGGCGCGCGAGATCAAGGAGGGCGGTTGGAACCGCGTCGCCCTCCAGTTCCCTGACGCCATGCTACGTGACGCCTCGTGGGTCGCAGAGGCGCTAACGGAAGCTCTGGGCGGCAGCGAAACCTATCGCGTGTACATCCTTGCCGACACGTCCTACAGCGCCTGCTGCGTCGACGAGATCGCGGCCGAGCACGCCGACGCCCAGATTGTCGTACACTACGGCCGCTCATGCCTATCACCGACGTCGAGGCTGCCCGTCATTTACGTCTTTACGCGGCACACCCTCGACATTGACCAAGCAGTCGAGGCCTTTACTAAAGAATTCCACGACAAGCAGCACAAGGTGGTTGTGGTGGCCGACGTCACATATCAGGACCACGTCGCTCCCCTCACAACGAAATTGCGCTCCGCGGGATACACAGCGTTGCTGCAGACCGAAGTGACACATGACCCGACCGGCACGATCCCAAACCGTAAGATCGTCGACTCTTCCTCATCGGACGCCCCCCCAACTACCGACTTGTCCGAGCACTCTCTCTTCCACATTTCAACACCGCCCCCAGCGCTCCTCCTCGCGCTCCAGACCCGCATGGCCTCTCTCCATGTTCTCTCGACGCCGAGCCTGTCGACCGACGATCCAACACGAACAACAAATGCCCTCCTCCGTCGGCGCTTCGCCCGCGTGCTAACCCTGGCCACGGCCGGTGTAGTGGGCATCCTCGTCAACACGCTCTCCGTGTCCAACTACCTCGGAAGCATCGACCTCCTGCGCCGGCGTATCGCCGAAGCTGGTAAAAAGAGCTACACGGT